AAAAAAAAAAAAAAAGATCGGTAATCGGTATCGGCCAAAATGTTCATATCGGTGCATCCCTAATTGATAATAATAAAAAATGTCTGCTTTTTTTCTGAAGAATCATGTGATACTGAAGACTGGAGTAATGGCTGCTGAAAATTTAGCTTTGCATCACAGGAATAAATGACATTTTAAAATATATTAAAAGAAAGCAATATTGCTGTTTTTACTGTAATATTGTTTTTAATATAATATTTTTTTTGATTAAGTAAATGATATAGCCTTGGCGAGCATAAAGGACTTAGAAAAGACTTGCTTAAAAAGAAGCATCAAAAACACACACAAAAACTTTTGAACAATAGTGTATGTATGTAATTGATGTTGTTTACTATGGATTGTTATATTTGTGTGTACATCTAAGTGATAATGATTAAATATAATTAATTTAGTGAAAATAAATAGTTTGGAAAAACATGTGTTGATTTTTAAATTGTGTTTTATTTCTTGTTTAATGTGTTTTACTTCATGCATGAAACTTTCTGAATCTTGGTTTTCTCTGACTAAAAATAATGGCCCCTTCAAAGCCATTTCAGATCAAACATATATCAAAAGAATGAAAAACACTGAGATACAGTCGTTTCAGGTATATCACGCAGTCGTAGTGTCTGCAGAGGTATGGTAGCCGACCTAGTTTTGTAGTTTGTCTCTGGGTAGGAAGGGAAGGGCAAGGGTGCACATTCTCTCAATTTTCAGCTGTCATTGTTCAGGCTATGGTAAGCTCACACACACAGGTCTGGCTTTGTGTATTTGACACCAGGCCAGCTCACTCACTGCCACTGCAGTCACACATTGTGCCCAGCTGTTGTGTACTTTGAGAAAAGACACCTGCTTGAATGGTAATAAAACACTGCTTTAGTCCTCTATTGTAAGTACTGTACTCCTAATGACAAAGAACCTGCAGTGATCAAATTAGTCATTGCAGATGCTTAACCAGTTCCTCTGCTCCATATCTAAATTGACTCATATCACACTATATAACATGCATGCACTTCCTCTAGCACTGCTGTGTCCTCAAACACAGACAGAAACATTTTACATAGACACATCTCACAAAACAATTGTCATTGGGATATAAAAGGGGAAAAAAAGCTTTAACAAAGAGGTCTAAGCCTTGTGCACATTGCATTTAGCAGCATTATGTAGCATAGCTTTGAATATCCTGCCACATGGAAACTCTCCAAGCTTAATTCACAGTGCAGTTAGAATATGCAAAACACTGATTAACATTTAACGTTGAGGGAGAAGACTTCAAAAATAAAGCAGCATGTTGCACAGAAATCCTTGACATGATTCTATCACCAGCGGCAAACATGGGAAGAAAAAAGAAAGAAAGAAATAAAGAAAGGCAGCAAGGAGTGTGCTGGTGCTCTGCAACTGAACAGAGGCAGAACTCTTAGATTAACAGTTGTAATGTTTCACAATGAGCCATCAGAATGAGAGACAGAGGAATGCCTCAGAAATGAGGCCTCAAGAGAGGAACTGGAAAGGAGGACTTTGCTATTGGCACTTTAAAGAAGCACATTCTCTTATAACAAAGCCAAATTAATCCTCTCAGATATGTTCTTTCCCCAGTTACAGTCCATTCATACAAAACATTATATCACAGAATAAGACATTTCACATCACTGTAATGTCTTAATGTCTACAAGTAAAATGTATTAGTTATCCTTGGGTGAGACTGACATCTTGAATGTACATTAAATGTAACATTAGCAAAATTGCTGTTCATAACTATTTTATGTTTTGGCGAATTGGCTAATTCGAATGAATTTGTGCGATCTCATTCGTATGTTTTCACACTATTCACATCAATAACTCATATGAAAACGTCACCTGTGAAAATAGTTGCTTACCCGTGAGACTGGGTTGTATGTTTTCAGTAATGACTCATTATTAATAATTAATTATCAGTCTATCAATTAATTATCAGTCCATCAGTCCTGACTGATGTAAAGTGACAAAATTACTCTTTCATTCATTGCTTTCATCTGCAGGAATCCCTGGAAAATGTAGAGACCGGAGAAATTAAAAGACATTTTGAAGCTTAGGAAAAAACAATTTGTTAA